TGGGAATATTTTAACGCGCTGGCACTCGATCGCATAATATAATAATCATGTTTTACTGCCACTATTGTTGGCGCGTACATTGTAAGTACATTGTAAACACATCATAGATTTATGAAGCTCTAATTTTGCGAGCAAAATTTCAATCTTCAATAAGAAAACCAGACAACCACTCGAGTTACTCTGACTATTTAAATTCCTTTTAATTTACTTTTATTAGATCATGTGTTTAATCGAAAATCTAGTTTTGCATCTGTTTAAAGAACAGAGCAAACTTACGAGCATACGAATTTTAGGGTTTTTATACTTTTTTAAGCATAAATTGAAATCCTTAAGAAAGTTTTTAATTGATCACCTAGAATTCATATGTTTTTAATGATTCCTTTTCTTTCCTTTTTTTTTATATAATGAATGCATGCAGTATGAATGTATAAGAAATACTTTGTAAAGAATTGTGAAAGATTGTATTAGATATAATGTGAGTTTTAATCTTCAACTGGTAGGATAGGCTCAAAATAAAGTTTTTAAAATCTTATGTGTAGATATATATAATTGTATTATGCATATATTGTATTACGTTAGATAATATTAGAAATATGTACAAAATGTGAATTTATTCCATAAATGAAAGTTTATTTTTTGTACTTGATGGAAGAAATATAGTAAATAAGAATGTTACAAATCTACTATATGAAATATAATATAATATATAAAATATAATACAAAATATATATATATATATAATCATCAATTTGCTTTATTAAATATTATAATTCAATAGTAATTCCACTGCATTTCTTCCATCTATATAATAATAATTATTTACTATTTTGTATTATTTTATCTTTAATTTACCTCGAAACATGAAACGTACTATAAAAAAATTGATTTGTAAAAAAAAAAAAGAAATAATGAATTGAATTAATTAAAATGAAAGAGACCTCAGCCAGTTGAGGATTGATGATTCTGCTTATATTTAACCGTTGATACAACGAAAAAATTGCAGAATATAAATGTCGCAAAACTTTCCTTTAGTTTTTATTAAATATCAGACAAAATATTGAAAGAAGAAACTATCAGATAGCTCGTAAGATTGTCCTGTCCAATTAACGAGTCTCATTTAGTCAAACTACTTAATGCTTTATCACATCTTCCATCATTCATGAATATCATTGTTTATGTATTGTGATTTTTATGTATCATGTGCATATATACATGAACATTTTTATTTTTGTAAATATTAATTCTTTGAAACGACGCATGGACATTTCAAGTAAAATTTAGGAAAATTTCTTTCTTCATAGATAAAATTTAAAAATGCGACGATTATATAACTTATTTTAGTATTTTAACATATCCAAAAAAAAAAAAAAAATGACATATTAGATACAAATTGTTTCTTATATACATATTGCTTTTTGCTGGTCTAAAAAAAGTTATCATGTCGTTGCATTTTTTCAACAGTTTTTGATTTTTTTTAAAAGAAATGAAGAAAGAATATATGACCAGTGATTTTATTTATCTTCTGAAAATTTTTACAAATTTTGATAGTTTTTAAAATTTTGAAGTTTTTTAATGAACAAAAATCCATTAAAATTTTTAAAGAGAATTATTTGAAAAAAAAAAAA